TCGTTTTTCAATTTTTTCTTGATTTCTAAGCTGAAAAAAATATAGCAAGTGTGCCTATGGATAATTGTGGGTGTCCGTTACGTGTAGGAGCAAATGAGAAGTTTGTAGGATTTTTTGCGGCTAAAATCCGATTTTCGGCACCATGAGTTGCTTTTATGTTCCGGCTTCAAACTTTGGGTAGATCACGATATCCGCCAATTTTTAAAGGAGATTTTGTAGAGCTTGTTTTGCTCTATCGAATGGTACCCCTCACATACATTTTTGGATCATCCTTATTGATGTATTGTAAAAACGACACTCTTTTCTTTCCAATCTAATATTACATTGTACTTCATGGAATAACGCGCGATATTTTCATTTATTATTTTTAGTCACAAAATTTCCAAGTTGTATTTCAGGCCGATGGATGCAATCTGTCACTTTCTTATGGTCTGGTACTATTGCACGTTGACTATCCGAGAAAGTATCCTAATCATCAATGGCTCCAGGTTAGTTGGACTATAATTTGAAGGGATTCAAGTTTGGCTCAAACAACCACAATTTAGACTTGGAGCTTGGTGGGTGGCTCATCATTACCTCGCATGTGTTATCGGTGGAGTCGCTCTTACCTGGCCTGACGATGCTGCTTATCAAGTTTGTTTTGTAAATTTATTTTTTAAAGAGTTTATGATTTATTGAGTTGTCCCAAAAGTGAATGCCATTTCTAAATAAAATAAGCTTATTTGTTTTCCCAGCAAACTTGGTGTACCATTCGATAGAGTAAAGCAAACTTTACAAAATGAACACCAAAGATTTGCCTTGTTCATAATCTAAAATTTGGAGCTAAAAGATTTCCTTTCAAAAATTTTTACGAACCTCCAGCTTGGTCATTATACAGTAGACACATAGGTACCAAAAAATGTATTCGGTGTATTTTTCCGAGCCTCCCAAATTAAATTAAATTGACCAAAATGCAAATGTCACTTTTTTTTCGAGTTTTCCATTACAAATTCGGCATTCAAACTCGACATAATTGGGTACTACTCTAAGTCTATTGTATGATGACCAAGTTGCAGGTCCGTCGGATTATTTTTTCGCAAAACCACGTTTTCCAAATGGTAAAATTTTTTTCGTTTCCAGCTCTAAATTTCAAGTGGGTTAGGACTTAGGCGGATTGGGGTTATTTTGTAAAGCTTGCTTTCTTTTATCGAGTGGTATCCCAAATCTTCTAGGAAAGCAAAAACAGCCTATTTTATTTGAAAAAAGAGTTTACTTTTGGGAGAAAAAAACACGATCAATAGTTTTTCAAATATGATTAGAAAAACTACTAAGGCAAGGAGAAAGTCTCGAAGCAGTCATTTAGCTGAAATTCGTCTATAGAGCTTTTCTTTGGTTTTTTCGCAAGTTTTAGAAAATTCCTGCATGACAGACATTCACCTATTAATAACAGCGCTTCGTACTAACCACGTGTCTTTGCAATAACATCTCTATAATGAAAGATGTAGTTCAATTAAGATAAGCCTTTGTACTTATCATGTGATATGAAACAAATAAAACGTCTAGATTAAGGATCATAGATACGAAACAATCTTATGCGAGAAGACTATTGGGGACCAAAAAAGGGGTATGTGTCAAGAAGAACGATAGCTGGCAATAGTAGCACATCGAGCGCCAGGGTGTCAATAAGCGGTGTACCAGTAACACCGCCTCGACCAGAAAACGAGCTCACGTAGACACTGGAGCTTGTGGTATTATATGCTCAGGCGTTAATTCTTTTTATCCTTGCTTTAGACTATTGTTTGTGATAATTTCTTCGGATGGGATTAATCCGCAATTTAACCACTGCAAACACTTTTCGGTAAACATTCAAGCTCAGTTAAGCATGTGAAATATCTGGGTTACTAAGATTGAAGTAGATAGTCAAATTCAATGAAAAGTAACGAAGTTTGAATCGTTGTTCTCTCTGTTTTCATTGTGAGTGAGGGCGGGCTGATCTGCGCTCGCCAGCAGGGCAGCTAGCGGCTGGAAGAGCTATCATTATATTAGGTTGATGAACAATTCTTGCACCAAATAGAAAATATTATTCTAAAAATGCTTAAACGAACTAATCAACTTACACAATATGC